ATATATTATTTAAAATAATTTATTTTTAAGTATATAATATATGAATATTTTATAGTCATCATCTCGCCACACGTGCATAATAATATTCCCACCTTGTCTCGTCACATGCGCAACCTATATATATATACCCGCCTTATCACACTACATGTGCACATATCAATAGTAACAATAGCACGGCAGAGACCTCGTGCAATACAACTATAACCGCACGACAGGAACCTCGTGCATCACAATAATAACCGCACGGCAGAAACGTGGTGCATCACAATAACAACCGCACAGCAGAAACCTCATGCATCACAATAACAATCGAACATAGCTTTCGGCTCAACAAACTGAGTACCACAACAACAACCACAACAATACACGATAATAAGACAAGTAAAATCAACTTAAAAACTTTAGAACGCAAGGAAACAGTAGAAACGAACTCACAAAGACTAAATACAATAGATAATACCGGTCACAATAAGAGTAGCTCAACAAGGGAGAATTTGTATGTAACAGTAACTTCACAAAGTACAATTCAACAACAAGGGAGACAGCATGAGTCATGAATTCCAAATAAGGATGAGGCAACTATGATAAAGGATATCTAACTTCTTTTATGTTTGAGCAAATTACAGAAACAATACAACAACTCAATTAAGGATAAGCAACGAAATAGATAGCATGGTAATTAAAGAGACAACAACTTCAGTTAAGGCACATGAGAGTCAAATAGGCAATAAGGGTGGAACATGAAGCAATTTAATTTCAATTAAAAATACGTAGAGGTGAAACTAGTAGATAGGGAAATCAACATAACGAAACAACTTCATGTCTAATGAACATAAGAACCTAAGAGCCCTAAAAGGTCAACTTTCCACAAATAAGTCCGAGCATGTACTCGTCACCTTGCGTACACGGACTTTACATGATACTATTAGCATAAAAGATTCAAATCCTAAGGGGTAGTTCCCCCACACGAAGTTAGGCAAGATATTTACCTCAAAGAAGACAGACCGTCACTCTAAAATGAACCTCTCGATTGAAAAAACCTCTGGACGGTTCAAATCTAGCCAAAATAACTTCAAGGCTCAAAATAAAACTCATAAGAAACTATTTCGGATAATAAAGCTTCAATTTTAATCAAAAAACTAAAAATCAACCCAAAAGTCGACCCCGGGCCCGCACCTCGAAACTCGACAAATTTCACAAAACCCGAACATCCATTCCGATACGAGTTCAACCATACTAAAATTAGCAAATTCCTATACCATTTCGTCCCTCAAATCATCATTTTACATTTTGAAAGTTTTCTTCAAAATCCCCATTTTTTCTCAACTCAAAACACTAATTAAATGATAAAAATAAAGATAGAATCATGGAATATAATAAATTATAGGTGAATAACACTACTTACCCAATTGATTTGCTTGAAAAACCCAGAAAGAATCGCTCAAAACCGAGCTCTAGAACTCCAAAAATGTTAAAAATGGAAAAACCCTCGGAATAGAGTACTATATATTCTGCACAGGTTTAATGCATCGCGATCGCGGAACATCACGCACGACCGCGAAGAAGAAAAATGAAGGCTGACCAATTGCACTACATGAACGCGACAACATGCACGCGAATGCGGAGAGGAAAAATCAGGTGGCCAAAAGTTTGAGCTACGCGAACGCGTAAAGCAGTACGCGAACGCGAAGAAGGGAATTGCATACCTTCGCAAACGCGGACAGAAGAATGTGAGAAGAATTTCATCCTCCAAAATTACACTACGCGAACGCGGATACATGGACACGAACGCGATGAAGGAAACCGAATGACAAAATCAGCAATCCAAAAATAGAAGGAAATGGTCCGTAGCCCATTCGAAACACACCCGAGGCCCCCGGGACCCAATCCAAACACACCGACAAGTTTTATAACTTAACGCGGACTCGCTTGATGTCTCAAATCACTTCAAACAACGTCGAAACTATGAATCACACCATGAATCGAACTCATGAACTTTCAAATCTTCCAACTTCTAAAACTCGCGCCGAAACCTATCAAATCAATCCGGAATGACGTCAAATTTTGCAGACAAGTCTCAAATAACATAACAGAGCTGTTCCAACTCCAGAATCGCATTCCGACCCCGATATCACCAAAGTCAACTCTTGGTCAAACCTCTCAACCTTCCAAAACTTTAACTTTTCTAACTTTCGCAGAAATGCTTCAAATTACCCTACGGACCTCCAAACCCAAATTATGACGCACGCCTAAGTCCAAAATTGACTCCGAATCATCCGATAACTGAACTTGACTACGCACACAAGTCATAACACATAATACGAAGCTGTTTAAGACCTTGTGCCGCCAAACGAGACTTTAATTCTCAAAACAACCGGTCGGGTCGTTACAACATCCACCTTCCTTAAAATTCCATGTTTCCTGTACTCCTCCTCTCTCCCTTCGCAGACTCTATTTTCTTCAAGAGTTTAATTATTCTTTTCAAAATTCATACAAACCCAAAGGACCTAATGTGCTACTTTACTTTTTCATCATGAAAAAAAGTACTTTATTTTTTTTGAAAAGAAAGTATCATTTCTACAACATGAAAAGAAATGACTCATTTTGTTGAATGAAAAAAAAAATGCTTTTTACATCATGAAAAATATACTCAATTTCTTGAAATGAAAGAAAATACTTTTTCTACATCGTGACAGAAAATACTCATTTTGTTAAAATAAAAGAAAATATTTTTTTTCTACACGAGGAAAAGAAAATACGTAGTTTGTTGAAATGAAAGAAATTATTTTTTCTATATCATGAAAAGAAAGTACTCGTTTTGTTGATATGAAAGAAAATACTTTTTTCTACATCATAAAAAAATTACTCATTTTGTTGAAATGAAAGAAAATACTTTTACATACTATATCATGAAAAGAATATACTCATTTTGTTGAAATGACAAATTAATACTCTATCTACAACATGAAAAGAAAGTACTCTTAATAATAGTTCTATTTAGGGTGGGTGGTGAGCGAAGTTGGAGTGGGTGGGGATGGGTGGGGGAGGGGGTTTAGGGTGGGTAGGTAGGTGGGGTGGGGTGAGTTGGTGGCGATGGGAAATATGGTGAAGAAGGTTGAAAAAGAGTTTTGGAAAATATTTTTCTCTTCCAATTAGAGGAAAATGAGTTCATGAAAAATATTTAAATCCCACCCAAACACACACTTTGTGCGAGTAAATTTTACTGAACCGAAGGCTGATGCCAGAGGTGCAAATGTGCAATTATTAGAATTAGGGTGAGGAAAATCATTTTACAGAGTGGTTACCCATCTAACCAATGTTCGTATATTCTTCTTTTGGTCAAAATAAAAGGTTTTCGTCCATTTAAGTAGAAATTATAAAAACCAAAAAGATATAGAGCAAAGTACAAAAAAAGGAATATTTGTGACATGTAAGGACAAGTAAGAAAGTCAGGTGACGCTAACTGATGAAGATCAAGCAACTACAACTTTTATTATAGCTCTGGGTTTTTGGGGAATAAATAATAAATTTCAAAGAAAATGACTAAAAAATGTTTGCACAAAAGAGAGAGGGAGAAAAAAGAACTAGCTTTCACAATAGTCTTCTTATATTATTGAAGTCACCAAGATAATGCTCCATAAAATAATTTTTCTTGACTTTTTATTTTAAAAAAAATCTAGTACATTTCTTATGTTTATTTTTTCCCTTTTCCTGCAAATAGTAATGTACTCTTGCTATATTTGGCTTTTCAAATTAAACTTTGAACCAGCAAATAATTCAAAAAGAAAAAGAAATTGTTAGAATATATTAGGCAGAAATTTTCGGGACCCTTAGACTTGACAACTTTTATTTAGTTCCCCTTAAATTTCACGTGGTCTTTAATATTCCCCGAACTAGAAAATTTGATATGCTTGACCCTCCTAGTTATTGATGTGGCAAAGAGTGTGAATATACTCTCTTTTAGGGGTGTTGGAGAGAAGAAAAATCGAAAAATTAACTTCCAAATAGGGTATTTTTTAATATTAATTATCACTAATCAAACATAATAATTTATTTGTTCCAGTTGTATTTCTCTTTTATCTTTTCTTATTATATATTGCATATTTTTTTCCCAATTATAATTTTTGTTATAAATATAATCAATATATGTTTCAATTATGTATTCTTATCTTTTTTTTTACGGTCCAAATCTACAAAAGTTAGTTGAAACTCCATTTATTTTACTCAAATAAAAAGAAAATTTTACTAAAGTAATGAAGACCAAATGGTATATTTTCTGCAAAAAGAAAAAAGTACTGTACATTTTTATTTTTATTTTTATTTTTATTTTTATTTTCATGCAATGATTATTTATTTAAATGGTATATAGGATTGCATTTATTTTATAAAGAATTATGATTATTAGTGTTCTAGATGCCGATGAAATACCCAACGACCGTTCAATGTTGTAACTTGTCATGTAAATTTTCGACAATGATAGAGTCCGTTTGGACATACAATACTTTTCCTTTTCTTCAAAAAAATTTTATTTTTTTTCGAAATGAGCGTTTGTTCATAAAATTTTAAAATTTCACTTGAAGATACATTTTGCAAATTTTCAAAAATATGAAAAATTCCAAAAAGCAGTTTTTCAAAATTTTCACTCAAATCACTCACAAAACTTCAAAAACAACCCAAATTGAAAATTATATCCAAACACAACTTTAAGTTTTAAATACTATTTTCACTTGAATAAATTTTTCATAATTTTTTGGAACTTTACGATTCTTATGTCCAAACGCCAACTTTATCTTGACAAAATAAAGTGCTTCATAAGTTCAAAGAACTTTTCTAGCTGTCCAACTATTAATTGTCCAAATAGTACTGTACTACTTTTTTCAGCTGAGGCTCTGATCAATTGCCTTTTTCACATTATTATTTTATTGTCATTCCACTCAACCAAAAATCAAAAGTCACGTGGCTTAGTTCAAATATTTCTGCTGTATATATGTCTCCCCTTCCCCCAAAGCTTTATTTGTTTTCCATTATAATATGTGCCTCTTCTCCCACTATCTTCAGCTCCTCTCAATACCCACTGCCCCTTTTTCTTGAAACCCTGGCCTCTCTCAATCTTACTATTCTTGTAAGTTCTTTTGTTCTTTCTTCTTTACTTTATGTATTTAATCTTTGTCTAATTAGGACACCCTTTTATTACTATATTCACTTCAACTATGTTCAATGGTTCTGTTTATATAAGACACTAGTCAGTAGTCTTTGCTTTCTAATAGCTGTTTCCCCACTTCCCTTTTCTTGTTTTGTAGCAAAAGGTTCTTTTATCATTTTCTGTTTTTTGGGTACAAACCAGATTTTCATTTTACAGTGTTAAAATCACTGATACTATTGGATAATCCCAAAAAGTTTGCATCTTTGCTAAAATATTTGTTGCCTTGTTGTTCTAATATCATCAACTGGATAATTTTTTTTTTTTGTGTGTGTGTGTGCTGAATCTTGAGCGATTTAGATATTGATGACCAAGAGTAGCTCTGTGAGCCTGTTTTATCAAAAGTTGGTTTGGTTTGGTAAAAGCATTGAATCTGTAGTTTCATAGTAGTACTGTTGTACTTAAAGTTAGTACCTGCAAATATTCACTTCTCTTCATTATTGCAATGTGTGATTCTTTCAATAATCATAAATGCTACAACTAAGTGAAAGGTGCATATTTATTGTCAAATTGAACTATGCATGATCAAGACACATGTGTCTCCCTTGTCTGTTTCTCTCTGTTTCTTCAGGTGTTTGATGTTTAACTTGGGGTGGAATGGATGCAAATGGTAAGGCTGCAAAGTTTAGTGGAGAAATAAGCATGTCAGAGAACAAGAAAACCCCCAGTGATGAAGTGGTTGTCATGATCTCTGGAGATCAAAAGGATTCTAAAAGTCCTGTTGCACCAAAACCAACAGTCCAAGTCAGTGATTCCTCACCTGAAATTGCCAGGTATAGTCCAAGCCCAAGCCCCAACAAACCACCCAAAATACCCACCACTGAAACTCTCACTCGGCGAAAATCCCTTGCAAGATGCACGTATTCGAGACCTAAATCAAGATTCGGCGAACAATCTGTACCTATTGATGCTAACATGTTTAATGAACAAGCTGCCGAGCCAAGTGCAAGTTCCCCCAATTGGAATGTATCTAACCATGCTTCTCCTACTGCTAAAATGGGTACCAGTAATACATTTAAAGAGACAACAAGAACGGTGTCTATATCAGTAACCCCAAGAACACCATTAATGGCATCACCAGGTGGTTTTGGAGGAGTGGATGAAGATGAGGAGATATATAAGAAAGTGAGCTCAAGGAATAAGTTGAAGTATAACAGAGTTAAAGCAAAAGTTCTGATTGAATGGCTGCTGTTTCTTTTCCTTTTAGGATGTTTACTTGCTAGCTTATTGGTAAAGAAGTTCCAAAATTGGAAGCTTTGGGATTTGAGGATCTGGAAATGGATTGTCCTTGTTATGGTGACCTTTAGTGGCATGCTGGTTACTAAGTGGTTTATACATTTTGTTGCCTTGTTGATAGAATTGAACTTTTTGTTAAGGAAGAAGGTGTTGTATTTTGTCTTTGGTTTAAAGAAAAGTGTTCAAGTCTGCATTTGGTTTAGCTTGGTTCTTCTCACATGGGTTCTGCTCTTCTCAAACGAGGAACGGTCGCGTACCGCTGAGAAGGTTACTAATTTTATTACCTGGACTATTACAGCTTTGCTTATTGGTGCATTCTTGTGGCTCTTGAAGACTTTGCTGCTAAAGATTTTGGCTGCCTCTTTCCACGTAAACACATTCTTTGACCGGATTCAAGAGTCAATTTTTCATCAGTATATTCTACTGACCCTATCGGGATTCCCAGTTATGGAGTCTGCTCAGATGTTGGGGAGATCAAATAGTGCTGCCAGTCAATTTAGTTTCCGCAGAACAAAGAAAGGAAAAGATGGGAAGGAAAAGAAAGAAAAGGCAGTGATTGATATCAATAAACTTCATCAGATGAAGCGAGAAAAGGTCTCTGCATGGACCATGAAAACGTTAATTGATGTAATATCTAACTCAGGACTTTCCACTATCTCTGGCTCGCTCGGTGAGAATGACTATGATGCAGGTGGTGAGCAAGCAGATAAGGAGATCAACAATGAGGAGGAAGCAATTGCTGCTGCCTATCACATTTTCAGGAATGTTGCATCGCCCGGTTCCAGGTAAGAAAACACTGGCATTTTAAACATTACTTTTGATGTTTTAATTTGTCACATTTCGACTAGATCTCCTGTAGCATTCTTTGTTGTAGTGTTATCTCTCTTGATTCACATTCCTTTTTTTGGATGTCTAGGTACATTGATGAGTATGACCTTAGGAGATTCTTGATTAAAGAAGAGGTCGATATTGTGTTCCCCATGATAGATGTGGCAGAAACTGGACAGATTGATAGGAAATCATTGACGGAATGGGTGGTATGCTCACAACTTACTCATTTTCCTGGATTATGCCTGGCAAACTGATGTAAAAGAATCTAAATCAGATTTGGTTACTAGATGCTCCATGCTCATATTGTTAAGAGGTTGGAATAACTTTAGGCATGATTTAAACTAGATCCATTTCATCTGATATTTAATTGCCAACATGATGCAGAATATTGGGATCTAGAAAATAAAAGTAATTCTAGACATTTTTCTGGTGATTAGGGGAGCACAATTAGAGCTTTCCTTCTGAGACAATCGTGAAATTGAGACAGTCGTGAAATGAGTATTTGTCATTTCAGCATATCAATCATTTGTCCTTTTTGGCGTATCAGGTTAAGGTTTATCAAGGACGAAGAGCTCTATCGCATGCTTTGAATGATACAAAAACTGCTGTGAAGCAATTGAACAAGGTCGTGACATGCATTCTGGTTGTCATAATTATCATCATATGGCTCCTTTTGGTGGGGATAGCGACTACTAAAGTGATTGTCTTTCTGTCGTCACAACTCGTGGTAGCTGCTTTTATTTTTGGGAATACTTGCAAGACTATATTTGAAGCTATTATATTCGTATTTGTGATGCATCCTTTTGATGTTGGTGATCGATGTGTCATTGATGGTGTTCAGGTAATGTCTGCTAATTGCATCTTCTTGCTGTTTTGCATTTTCTTTATTGATTCACACTTTTATCTTGCAAATTGCAGATGATTGTTGAAGAAATGAATATCCTGACCACAGTATTCTTGAGGTTTGATAACGAAAAGATATACTACCCAAATACAGTTTTGGCCGTCAAGCCAATCAGCAATTTCTACAGAAGTCCTGATATGGGTGATGCCTTTGAGTTTTCTGTTGATTACAGGACACCTGTGGAAAAGATAGGAGCTCTAAAAGAGAAAACAAAGAAGTAAGTATAAAATTTTTCTCATCTTTTTCTAGAATTCGTAGTAAATTATCCCTTTAAAGTTATGAGGACAAAAGCACAACATTCATAATTAAAGATATATGACTTCTGCAGCAATTTGTAAGATATTTCTTGACACGGCTTAAGTGAATCCAAAAGTTAAAGCTAGTCTAGACTCTAGCTAGAATCTGAAAATTTACTGTTGAAATTCATCTAAACCCCAGCTTTCTCGAAATGTTGAAAGCTGGGTTTTATTACGACAACTAGGGTCCTTTCCAAGCCTTGAGCCTAACCTAGTGCAGTTGGATCCTACACATGTCCAAGTCCTCCCTATGGGTCTATTCATTAGCAAAATTTACGAAGTAGCAAAAAGATTCAGTTGATAATTGAATCTCAATTCCTATTGTCTAACTTAATGGTTGAAGTGATTTTATACATACTAGTCTTAGGGTACGCGCGGTGCGCGTGTACCCTGTATCAATGAGTATTTATTTTAATAAAATTAGTTCATTATTAATAAAAAATTTATTTGAGTAATAAAATAAAGATGAAAGGCAAACCTGTCAGTTAATTGAAATGGAAATTAACATGCAAAAGACATGATCGTAAGGAAGCACCACTAATTTGGTTAGTAAGTTTAAGGTGTAAAAGAAACAAAGAAAAATAATATAAGGGCCCAAATGAGAATTTTGGTCCATCTTTCTACTTTGAAGCTTCCAAGTTTTAGAATCTTGAAATGAAAAGAGAATGGTAATAAAAAAAAACCGAAAATGCATATAAAGAGTTTGAAAAGTATACATACCGCGGCTAATTGAGTAAGATATGTGAATTCCAATTTAACGCTTAGATAAAAGAATTATACCTATAAAAAAACCAAGAGAGAAAGAAAAGTACTCCCTCTGTTCCAATTTATGTGAACCTGTTTGACTAGGCACGGAGTTTAAGAAAAAATGAAGACTTTTGGAATTTGTGGTCCTAAACAAGTCAAAAAGGGGCCCAGAGTATTTGTGTGGTTATAAAAGCTTCTCATTAAGGTTAGAATTGTAAGTTTAAGCTAAATTGTTACTAAATATAAAAAGAGGTCATTCTTTTAGGAACTGACCAAAAAGGAAATAGGTTCACATAAATTGAAACAGAGGGAGTAGTAATTGACAAGAGTCAAAACTGGTAATGATTCGGCATCTATAAAGATCGATAGGTGAAAATAGAAAATTTTGTATCTCTTGTTCTTATTCATGTTGAATTGATATCTCTTCCAAAATTTCAACACTAGATAGGACATTAATGAGTTCGTATTAGAGTTCCATATAAATTTATGTTAAGAGGAGATTTTTAATGTTAGCACAATTTTATCCAACAATTATTTTTTTTTATTTTTTTTGTGAAGAAAAGTCATTAATTGACGCCAAACAAAATTAATAGAAAAGAGTCTTGGCGTGCACGGAAAGTAATTTTCTTTATAAAATCTCGACTTTAGCCTTTTTTTTGTTAATTTAAATGGTCAAAATTATATAATTGGTATGTTAAAGTGACAAATGCATAATTTACTTCGAATAGCTAAATATTTTTCATAAATTTAAGCACGAATAATGAGTACAGCTTTATCCATTATAGAATATATATGAATTTTAAAGAGAAAGTAATGGCTAAAAAGGTAGGATTCGAAGACAAATATTTGAATTTTTTAACTGATGTAGCCTTCTAAAAAATCTTCAATGCTAAAGAGCGTGTGTGTAACTTTTGTATTTGTGTAGTTATGTGAATATGTGTGTTTTCTGTATTCATATTTGGATTTTAGAGTGAAGTACAAAAAACTGGAGTTTCTCTATCTTAATTTGGTGTTAGAGCCCCGAGCCGGCACTGACTCTTTGCCCAAACATTGTGAAACAAAATAATCTGTTTTAGTTAGCTAACAAAAGAGAGCACTATGTGATTGAATTGTTCTTAAGAACACCTGAGCATACTGAAAGATTGAGCTAATTAAGAATATCTATGTTCATAGGATGAAATTAAATACCACAGTTTTTCTGTTAAGTTAGACCTTGTCGAATTTCACATTCATGGAACAAATGAGTACTTAGAAACCCTCCAATTAAGAACCTGTGTAATTGATAATTTCCCTCAAACGCAAAACTTGAAAGACTTAACAAAAAGAGTAAATAATGTACCCAACAAAATAATCATTCAACAGAAATAGTCAACTATGTAATTCAAAATTCATAGATTAGGATTTTGCATCAATCATATTACAGTTACATGGCATTATGAGATTGAAAGTACTAACCAAAGAAATAAAGAAAGCAAGCAAAAAGAAAGATCACAACGAATAAAGCTTGTATCACAGCCAAAATAAAAAGCAAAAGTAGAAAAGAAACGGCAACTATTAAAAACTATAGGACTTGAGCGAAAAAGAGTGGTTTGATCATTAAAATGTATTACTTAAATACAAGTTTAATGGTGATCAAATTACAAATTTTTTCCTTTTATAACGTGTTCTTTTATAAGTAATTATATTGTTAGTATAAAAGGTAAAATCTTAACTAATTAATTTTAAAGTTTTAAATAGTAGTACTTTTTACATAATTCAAATAAGGAAAATTTTATTAAATACAATTTTAGTTGATTTTAAAGTGCTAGATATTAGGAATATGATTAAATGGCTATTTTGTTCAATGTGAAATCCATTTTTAAAGGGTAAAAAAGGCAAATGACATTTTGCTAAAGGGCCTTCTGCTTTTAATATAATATAGATAGATATAGATATAGGTATCGTAAATATTCACTAGTTTGCCCAGAAATTATAATGCATAAACTGTGAAATTCCAGATGAATGACGTCATGCATAACATATACGCCGTAGGGGTGGCAATCCAAGACCATATTCTCCATGCCCGTGTTTTAGCTCACACATACTTGAATGGTGAACGAGCCAGGCAATTGCCTATTCCTAATTGTTGACATGCACTTGTAGTATAGGGGTGTCTAGTGGGATGCTGATACGATTAACAGATCGTAGTTGGAAGAGACAATACTGGAAAAATAACTTGGATATGTTTCTTTTCTTTGTGGCAATTTTTAGGAGTGCACTGCCCATCCCTAAATGTAGACATTTACTGGTAGTATAAGGGTGTCAAATGGAATGCTGACATGTTTTATATGTTGTAGTTGGACGAGCCAATACTTAACGTTTAACATGGACACATTTCTTTTCTTTGAGGCAAGCATTTTAGTCTGAAGAAACAAATCCATGATATGCCTCTTATATATTGTCTGAGATTCCCAAAGCAAAGGATCTGAATGAAACTAAAGCACACAGGGAAACTGAGAAAAGATGAGGGCTTTTTTCCCGCCGTTGGTGGTGGTTTGGACTGAGGGAAGGGTGATGCACAACATGTAATCTCTGGCGCTTAATCAGTGAAAATTGAAAATTTGTTATATCTTTTATTGATAGTTTTTAGTGTCCACGTGCAACTTGGTCGAGTGAGATAAGGGCAGATGTTAATGCCTTGCACATGCTGAGTAGGATTCTTTCTGATTACTGAAACACCTTGATTTTAAAATTTTGGCTTAGGCTTTATCCTCCAACAAATACCATGAATTTAGACTTTGAGCTTAGGCTTTATTCTCCAAGAGCAGTCAGTTTTAAAGCACGAGTTGTTGATCAGTATTCTTCTCATGGAAAAACTGATTAACCTGTTCAAAGACAATGCAAACTCTCTAACTACTTGATGGTAGATAAGGATATCTTATGTATAAGGGTTTCCCTAAACCTTGTAATATTATTCATTTTTCACTCAAGTTTTTGATTTTTCACCTTTCTTGTTGTTGAATTATCAGGTATTTAGAGAGAACTCCCCAGTATTGGCATCCTAATCACAGTGTGGTGGTGAAGGAGATTGAAAATATGAACAAAATAAAAATGGCACTCTATTTCAATCATACTATGAACTTTCAAAACTTTGGTGAAAAGAACAGACGAAGAACTGAGCTGATCCTCGAAATGAAGAAAATGTTTGATGAGCTTAACATAAAATATGATCTTCTTCCCCAGGAAGTTCATCTTCTCGATCAAAGAGCAGTAAGTGGAAACACTAGATGATCTTTATCTTCAACTTCACAAATACCAGTTATTTAAGTAGCAACTGTTGCTTCCACTGCAATAGTTTTTTTTTTTTTTTTTGGTTGATGAAGTTTAACACCCGATTCTGCGATACTGGAAGTTTTGTGTATTACATTAAACAATATTTGTAACTTAAAAGTTTCATCTGCTAAAATTTTGTGTGGAAGTGAGTACAGTTTCTATTTGGAGGTTCTTAGTAACATTGTTGATGCAATTTTTTCAAGGGTCTTTAAATGAAATTATGCTTGTTTGTTGTGACAATTTCTGCAAGAAATGGTTATTCATGATGTTATAATGTGGGAAAAATCTTGTGTGGTTCGAGTGTTTTATGAGCAGAGGAGTTACAGGGCCATCTATTCTTTCACCTACTACATTAGCTTCTCTTTTTATAATTCTCTTTTTGAGATGCGCCAAAAGCAAACTTAAAGCCGTTGCGGTGAACTTAGGTGAATACTTGACATATTTATTCTGTTTGTTCAGACGTGATTTCATTATTATCTGTTGTTTTTTTTTCTTTCCACTTCGAGAGCCGTCTCATTGATTCAATGTTCCTCTGAATATAATCATATTCATCTAGAAAAATAGGATATCGAAAAGAAAATTATAAAGGAGAGACCCTTTGTAACTTCTTATTTCTCTTTTCAAAATTCATTTGCTTGCAACATTTTGAGTGGACGGATAATTCTAAATACTGAATTTTTAATATTATTACTAAATTACACTTAGGGGTCAAGTAATCTTGAAAGTGGAATTGACAACTGTCGTAGCCTGCAATCTTTTCGCTCTCTTATCAAATTTCTATCTAAATCAGATTACAAATTTGCAGAAAAAATTATATTGCTATTTGATGAAGCAATCGCATCAAGGTAATATGAAAGTCAATAAAAGATATCGCCAATAGCCCTTTTTGTTATCATCAAACAAAAGATTAAAACAGAAAGACCTAATAAACCCAAAAATGCTGCCAATAGCCCTTAATATCAACTCACATATCAAGTAAAGTTTAACTAATATTCACCTATTTGCCTTCAACTATATTAGAAAATGATTTGTAGAAATTGTATGACCGTCCCTCATTGATTGTCCATGTATTACCTAAATTGCATCCACTACGTTTTGTACTAATTTCTCTTGGCGCAGATTTGCTTATTTTGTTAATAGAATGGTAAAAATCAATTTATTAGTTAAAGACCTAATAAAAAAAGGTAGAAATGGCACCATGTAGTCATTTTAAAAGGTTGCTATTTAGGAATTAACCAGTGCGTCCTGAATTCAGTTTTCCAGTTCAAATTTTTCGGGATAAAATGTCCTAAATTGTCTTGAAGTTGAGATTTTTAGTTTAAAATTTTAGGACGAAATAAGTATTGGTTACTCTCTAAATATCATCCCAAGAATTGGCTGTTTGTACCCCTGCCCTCATAAAAAAATGGGACTCAAACAACATGGAACTAAATGTCCTCTTGCAAGCTTGATATGTAAATTTCAGACAACTTAATCAAAAATTGGAATCAACTGAGTTATAATTCTGACTTGTAGGACTTTTAATTCCATGGGATGGAGATAGTTCAAAATGATTGATGTTTTATACTTCAATACAACACAAGAGAGGAGGAAGGGTGTAATTTATGTGGTGTCCAATTTTCACATGCACTTGATTATAATGTTTATGCGTTCCTTAATCTACTATTGCGGAATATGTAATCAGAAAGTAAAGAACACAAGTTTTTTGACGTGGAAAATACTTGGCTAAAAAATAATAGGTTGCAAGTACCTTGTTTTATGTTTTGATTATCTAACAAACTTACTGTCAAGAACCAGATAAGGATCCTGTTACACATTAATACCCTACATTTGTAAAAAAAAGGGTGTATTGGCCATTATAATAATATTATATGTGTGATTGGTTATTATCTTATTACATTCCCTTTTATTACCATGCGAAGGTAGTTAGATTGGCATATCTAGCAAACATAAATATGAAAAAAAAAAATTATATCCCAGTGATAGTCGAGGTTATGTCATTTAAGAAGGCTCTACAATTATTGAATGAGATTGGTTAAGGTCTCGTAACTTCCATAGAGAGATCCAAGATATGTGAAACTTAGTTTGAAAAAAATAAAAGTATCATACCGAGAGATTCTCCAATGTATTCCTAAGGATTTACCAGGACTACCTCCAATATGAGAAATAGATTTCGGTATTGATTTGACACCTGACACATAAACCATATCATAAGGAACCAATGAAGTTGAGAGAGCTAATGAAAAATTGTGAGACCTACTAGACACAGTTTTTACAATATCGAGTGTTGCGCCATTGGGTGCACCAATATTGTTTGAAAAAAAGGGGGGGGGGGGGGATAGGTCCTTAAGAATGTACATCAACTACAGATAATTAAATAAGATAACAATGCATAATATATACCCACTGTCTTGTATAGATAATTTGCTTGATCACTTACAAGGAGAAATTGATCATTAGGCTAGCCATCATCAGCTTAGAATAAGAAAGGAAGATATTTCGATGTTTACCTCTACTACCTTGTACAAACATTATGAGTTACTTGTGATGTCCTTAAGATTGGCCAATGCTCCCACTGCATTGATGTATATAATGGATATGGTGTTCAAAGTTGTTTTTGAAAAGAAAAAAAATTTATAGTTTTAACTTACTATATTCTGGTATATTCTCGTAGCCAGAAAGAGCACGAGAATCACTTGAAAAATATGTTAAAGACGCTCAGAAAAATCCACTTTTACCAAGTTCTTCAATTGGAAATTTTAGCTAGACTTGGTGGTATTCATAGGATATATAATATCGCAGAATGAAAAGATGATAGATTCTGAGAAGATAGAAGCAGTTCGTAAATGGCCGAGACCCATTTCTCCTACAAAGAGTGACTCCTTTTTTTTTGGCTTGAAAGGCTACTATAGGTTTTTGTGTAGGAATTCTCTAGAATAGCACCATCACTCACCAAGTTAATACAGAAAATCGCTAAATTTCAGTGGATGGAGGAATGTACGATGAGATTCCAGAACCCTAAGGCATATTTGACAATCACACCATTGTTAACCTAATTCCAATAGGCTCTAGAGGATTCACGATGTTCTGTGATACTACGAGGGTATGGTTAGGATATTTTCTCATACAGAATGGTCGTGTGATAGCATATGCTTCAAGGAAATGAAGAAGCTCAAAACGTAATATGCCACTCATGATTCAGAGATGGTCATAATGATATTTCCTTTTAGTATTTAGAGACACTGTTTATAGGAAGAAACCTATGAGATTTGCACCTAACACAAGAGCCTGAAAAACCAGCAGATATATGAATATTTAGCAATGCTGATGGAGGGAACTACTGAAGATATAACTGTACTATTTTGTATTGTTCGGGAAAGAAAAATATTATTGCTTATGCAAAAAAAAAACATGGATGATTAGCCCCTGTAGAGATATTTGTGAACAAAGATATGCATAGACTATAGGGTATACGTATTAGATTCAATGTGCTTTGAAAAAAAAAATTCGAAGACATTATTGGCTATTGGTCAAGCCTGATGTAGAGTGCATGAAGGCTAGCCAATATGAGGATGAGCGATTGTTCAAGTACCGAGATTAGGTCCTAGGTGGTAAAAGCAAGGATATGATTGTTGAAAGAGATGGTGTTCTTCAAATGGGTGACAGGCTATGTGTAGCAGACGTAGATGGGTTGAGACATGCTATTCTTAAAGAAGCTCACAACACTAAATACACTATACATCCTGGATCCACAAAAATGTACTATGACTTGAAGCAATTTTATTGGTGGGAAGGTATGAAGAAAGATGTTGCTAACTTTGTTTCTAGTTGTTTGACTTGTCAGTAGGTCAAGGCTGAGCATCAGCGACCCGCAGGACTACTACAACAAATTGAGATTCCAGAGTGGAAATGGGAAATAATTACTATGGATTTTGTCACCGGGCTACCACGAACCCTTAGAGTTTATGACTCAGTATGGGTGACTGTAGATCGACTGACGAAATCAACACACTTTTTGCCGGTAAAGACTACATATGGTGGAGTCAGGTATGCACAGATATTTATGAATGAAATTGTCCGACTTCACATAGTTCCAATATCCATCATCTCTGATAGAGGATCACAGTTCACTTCACGCTTTTGGAAATCTTTTCAAGAAGCATTAGGTATGCAAGTAGATCTTAGTACTGCATTTCATCCACAGATAGACGGGCAGTCTGAACGTACTATTCAGATCTTGGAGGATATGTTGAGAGCTTGCATTCTTGAGTTTGGAGGTAGTTGGGACACTTATCTACCTTTAGCTGAATTTGCTTACAACAATAGCTTCTAGTCCAGTATTCAAATGGCACCGTACGAAGCATTATATGGTAGAAGATGTCGTTCTCCTATCGAATGGTTTGAAGATGGTGAGACTAACTTATTGGGACCCGACTTAGTACAAGAAGCTATGGACAAAGTCTAGTTGATCAGACAGAGATTGCTTATAGCTCAAAGTAGACAAAAGTCTTATGCTGATAAGAGAAGAAGAGATTTAGTGTTCACAATTGGAGACAAAGTGTTCTTACGAGTCTCTCCCATGAAAGGTGTGATGCGATTTGGGAAAAGAGGCAAGCTGAGCCCCAGGTTTATAGGACCGTATAAGATACTAGACCGAGTGGGAGTTGTGGCTTATCGTTTGGCACTTCCTCCTGAGTTGTCCTTTATTTATCTAGTTTTTCATGTCTCAATCCTAAGGAAATTTATATCAGACTCATCTCAGATAATTGAAGCCCCTGCTATACCGCTTGATGAGAAGTTGTCTTACGAGGAAGAGCCGATGGCAATTGTTGATAGGCAAGTAGAAAGCTACGGTCAAAAGAATTGANGGGACCGAATTTCCTAAGGTGGTGAGAATGCAATACCCCATGTTTAGATAGGGCATATTAGTCTTTTAACATAACTTAACCCAAAAACAAATAATAATAACAAAAGATGAATTAGGGCCAAGCCACTACGTTAGCAGAAGAAAAAGGGATAGGGGCAAAGTAATGGAGTTCGGCAGAGGCAAACTCACAGGAGCAATCGAAGGGAACGGCGAGGTGGGTCTTCTTCTTTCTAGCGAAGGGATTCTCGAAGCAGGAGGACAAATTAGGTAATTAAATTCCAAATTTTTCCATGGTAATCTATCAGGGAGTCCCTTTACTCAATGCCTAACATATTATTAGTTATTATTTCACTAATTAAGGGTAGAAACAAGACTAACAACTTAAGATATTCTTTTATAACAAATAATGAATTCCTATTAAATTGACTGAAAAATCTTTTAGGTTATACCGACACTCTAATGTACAAGCTAGAAATATTTAGTACAAGTATTAATTGAGGGGAAGAATACAGGTTTTGTGCAAACGAATAAAATTTTTGTTTCCATATACAAATAGTTGGATAGATCGCAATGTAAGAACAAATAGAGAATCACTGCTCGGTTCCAAAGGAATAAAAACGGGGGAATTAATCTGATATGAAGTATTGGACAAGCTATGTTGGAATTCACGGAGTTAATACATAGATTGGTTTTGTTACAAGTAGGTAGTTAAAGAAGTTGAACAAAGTGTTCGAGGTGGCACATTGGGCATTCCTGCACAAGTATGGTGAGTAGTAATCTTACCACAATTTGTATTTTCATAACCTGCATGGTTTATATATGATTTTGAAAATAAATGTGTTAACGATGCTTTGAAATTGCATGTGGGACAAGTCCTTTACTTGATATGGTACCGAACAGTTTACTTGAGATGTTTACCAGTTAATCTAAACGTTTTTACCGTTACTGGATATGTTTTACCGTTACTTGAGATGTTACAGTTATTTGAATTATTCTCACTGTTACTAGACATGTTTTACTGTTACTTAAGACATGATTACCGTTACCGAAATAAAATTACAAGATTTGATAAGAAACGATATGCCCTTTATTATTTTCAAAATGCTTTTGTACGAGTATCTACTGTTTACAAGAAAGAGTATAAATGGGAGGAGACTTTGAAGGATCCCGTAGATAACGGCGGGGTCGTTAGACCTGGTGCACCTTGTATTTACCGATTACAGAGTACAGTTATAGCCCTCGCTAGTGGGAAGGTAGAACTAGCATACCGTTACCGATTTTCCTCGAGTAGGGACTACCGTTATATTTGACTTCTTGCGAAGAAGTCCACAGTTATACGGATTACATGATCCGTTCATTGAAACCTCCCAAAATGTGAATATCGATTAGAAACAGTGGTTACCGAGCTTATTACCGAACTGTTAATTGTATTATACTACAAGAAAAGCATGACGAGACTGAAAATTATTTATTGTTTCTAAAAGGGCATTTTTATGTTATTTTCTGTTTGATATACTAGCATGCTTTCTGAATTGTCCCCAATAAAAACGGTTGTGGTTAAGTGTTATTACTCACTGAGCTAGCGACTCATTCCCCGCTAATTGTTTTACAGAGACAGCAGTTGACGCAGGCGAGGATTTTGTTAATTAGAGCGCACAGGTTGATATTTCTCGATGAGCCTCGCACTTGTTCGCGTGGGCAGAGATTTTATTTATTGTTATGGTCTTTTCATTGAACTCTTAGAGTCGCTCCATAGTCATTATTTTAGTGTCGTGAGTATTCTTTTGTTATTATAGTCTTATGTTGAGTATCGTTCTCATTTATCAAAGTTGGAGATAAATTAGTATTTCTAGTGGTTAGTTGGTGGTTTAGTTATGGTGGAGACTTGTTGGTTAATTGACAAGTTGTCAATTGTTTGGTATGATATTAGGATGTTTGGTTGTTGATTTGAGACAGAAAAAATTTTGGGATGGTCCAAAAATAGGGGAAACTCTGTCCGATTTTCTGTAAAATTACCGATGAGGCTTACTTGGGAGCACTTGTTCCTAAGCGCCGGTCACAATCCTAAATTGGGTCGTGACAAAGTTGGTATCAGAGCCCTAGGTTATTCCTATGACTAATGGAGCACAAGTTAATAGTAGAATCTCAATTATGGTTATGTAGCCGGCCATTCCCATAATCGTGATTCTGCGAAGGCGTGATAGGATGTATCTTGTCTTTCTCACTTATTCTTCCATACGTGTGTGGCGATTAGGGTCAAATAACTGAATCTGCCATCGTTATCCTTTTCCTGTATTACTCAGAACAATCACCCGGTAATAGAATTTGGCTAGAGGTTCAAAGACATCAAATGTTGCCACTAGATAGGCAATCGTCTCCTAACAACGAAAAGTGACAGAAGTAATAGACAAGGCCAATGAAAGGCCTATTTTTCCATAATGAGAGTGTTACCGCTAAGATGTGTAATAGAGTCTATTCTTGAAATTTGTACGAGTTCACCACTATAGCACCAGGAGAGCGTTATTACAAAAATTACTTACCTTTATGCAAGGTAAATTGAGGTCTTGATGGATATATTGGATAGACAAGAGAAGAATGGTCAACCACAAAAGGCTCTATAAGCCTCAGGCATTTATACTAAGTTAGGAACCAAGATAATTCTCTAATAGAGTTCCTAAAATTGAAGCCACCATGTTTACCATTTTTTGTTAATGTAGAGGATCCTCGGAGGTTCTTGACGAAATACTTAAAGCATTATGAGCTCTATAATGTTCTAGCGAGAGGCTTGTTGATCTAGCTACTTATCAAATAGAGTATATGACAAATATATGGAACGAATCCATATTGTTAGAGACGCAGTTAGGAGTGACAAAAACAACTTAGAAGTAAGTTTAGTAAAATTTTTATAAATCGTTTCCTTCTTGATAGTCAAATGCGCAAACCTGAAAGGTACTTAAGAAATTAATTCAGACGATGGATGTACTGACATATAACACCAGGCTTTATCAACTGGCTAGGTACATGATGCCTTAGGTTTAAAGGCTTGTCTAATGGTTGGTTAACTGTTTAAACAAGGCAATACTCTCACATACGAAGACTCTGACCTATTATGTGGAAGTTGAACTTACTAGAAAAAAATAATTTAAGAACTGGATGCGACTGTCATGCAACTAAGAATTCATTTAAGAAGGTAGAGACTAGAAAATCTCGCTGTATGAATTTATTTTCGTATATGGGGCGAAGAGTTGGATAAATAACATCTTGAGATATTATGAGATTCTTTAATAGTTGCCACTTTTAAGAAGAATCTCGTACAGTTGAAACTTTGTATTAAGCTTATCAGATTCAAGTTGAGAGAGAGGATACCCTATCTAGCCAAATTGTACTTGACCTTGTTAATTTTGACGTGCTTATATGTGTGATTGGTTATTATCTTATTACATTAACTTTTATTACCATGCGAAGGTAGTTAGATTGACATATCTAGCAAACATAAATATGAAAAAAAAAAATTATATCCCAGTGATAGTCGAGGTTATGTCATTTAAGAAGGCTCTACAATTATTGAATGAGATTGGTTAATGTCTCGTAACTTCCATAGAGAGATCCAAGATATGTGAAACTTAGTTTGAAACAAATAAAAGTATCATACTGAGAGATTCTCCAATGTATTCCTAAGGAATTACCAGGACTACCTCCAATATGAGAAATAGATTTCGGTATTGATTTGACACCTGACACGCAAACCATATCATAAGGAACCAATGAAGTTGAGAGAGCTAATAAAAAATTGTGAGACCTACTGGACACGATTTTTATAATATCGAGTGTTGCGCCATTGGGTGCACCAATATTGTTTGAAATAAAGGGGAGATAAGTCCTTAAGAATGTACATCAACTACAGATAATTAAATAAGATAACAATGCATAGTAAATATCCACTGTCTTGTATAGATAATTTGCTTGATCACTTACAAGGAGCAATTGATCTTTAGGCTGGCGATCATCAGCTTAGAATAAGAAAGGAAGATATTTCGATGTTTACCTCTACTACCTTGTACAAACATTATGAGTTACTTGTGATGTCCTTAAGATTGGTCAATGCTCCAACTGCATTGATGTATATAATGGATATGGTGTTCAAAGTTATTTTTGAAAAGAAAAAAAAAATCATAGTTTTAACTTACTATATTCTGGTATATTCTCGTAGCCAGAAAGAGCGCGAGAATCACTTGAAAAACATGTTAAAGACGCTCAGAAAAATCAACTTTTACCAAGTTCTTCAATTGGAAATTTTAGCTAGACTCGGTGGTATTCATAGGATATACAATATCGCAGAATGAAAACATGATAGATTCTAAGAAGATAGAAGCAGTTCATAAATGGCCGAGACCCATTTCTCCTACAAAGATTGACTCCTTTTTTTTTGGCTTGAAAGGCTACTATAGGTTTTGTGTAGGAATTCTCTAGAATAGCACCATCACTCACCAAGTTAATATAGAAAATCGCTAAATTTCAGTGGATGGAGGAATGTACAACGAGATTCCAGAAGCCCAAATGTCACGACCCCAATCCCGGTCGTGATGGCGCCCAACACTAATGCTAGGCAAGCCCGACCAATTAAATACTCTCAACCCAAATTCGCAATCCGTTAACAAATAATACGATTAAGATAATAAATATCAAGTTTCCAATCCGAAACTAAATAAAATAGTACGAAAAATAATAACGAATATACCAAACATTCCCCAATAGATCTGGAGTCACGAGTCTAGAGCCTCTAAATGTAATAGAGTAATATATTCATAGTAATAAGGAAAGTTTAGGATAGGGAAAGACAAATGCAATAAAGGGGAGAAGTCGGGTCCTGCGGACGTCAGGCAGCTACCTCAACAACTCCTAAAACGAAATCCAAGAAGACAACAAACAGCTCCACTAAGTCTCCGGAGCACCTGAATCTGCACACATGGTGCAGGGAGTAAAGTGAGTACTTCCAACTCAGTGAGTAATAAACATATATAATGGCTGAAAGCAAGAAATCCCAAAATATTACAATATAAAGCTATAATCAGCGATTCAGCACATAAAACAATGGAACAACAACAATACCAGGACAAATAAGACAATTAGGTATAAATGCATGAATGCAATGCAATGCACATGACCGCTGCGGCACGCGCATCCCGATCCATTTGGGTACCCGCGCTCACTGTGGGGGTTCAGACTCCGGAGGGGCTCCTATAGCCCAAGCGCAATATCATCGTAGCATTCGCTGCGGCGTGCAGCCCCTTCCATACTCAGTCCAGATATATATATGCATGCAAGCCACTCGGGCACAGTCAAATTGTTCATTTTTAGTTTCAATTATTAGGAATTATAGAGCTATGTGTTTAAGCCTTTATTTATTTACTAAACATTTCAAAGCAGTGTCTAACTCAGGACTGATATCATAAAATATGCTAAGCATCATGGAAACAGTGGTAAGGATCCCTGAAGGATGCACATGATAGGCACAAGGCCCCAAACATATTCATAAAACCCAAGTAGGATGATTACTAACCAATTTCTAGTCAAGAACGCAGTAAGAACATCAATCGGAACGGACTAGGTCAAATCCCCAGTCACAATCGACCCTGCACTCGCCATAGAGTACGTGTCTCGCCTCAATATAGCGTCACAATGTGATATACCGGGGTTTCAAACCCTCAGGTCATCATCTACATCTATTACTCACCTCAAGCCGGCCACAAGTCTAGCTCGCTATGCCTTTGCCTTTCGAATCAACCTCTTCGCACGCCGAATCTGATTAAAACCACAACGAATACGTTACAATAGGCTAAAGAAACATAACCCAATCGAAAAGACACGAAAAACACTAAAATTCACAAAGTTGGCAAAACCCGAGCCCCGGGCCCACTTCTCGAAAAATTACGAAATTTACATCACCGGATTCCTCGTCTCGGCACGAGTCCGTACATATAAAATTTACCAAAATCGGAGCTCGTTTGACCCTCCAAATTCCATTTTTACATCACAGCTTTCCAAGCCCTAGCTTGACCCGTTTTTGATGAAATTCTACTGATTTCTATGATAAATTTACCATAAACTCGAGTAATTGAGCCAAGGAACTTACCTCCACTCGATTCTCCGTCAAAACCCTCGAAAATCCTCGCCCAAAGCTCTCCATGTCGCTTAAAAATGGTAGAAACTACCTCTTGCTCGCGGAGGAAATATAATATTAAAATCCCTCTGCCAACAGTCCTTTTCGCTTCTGCGGTCAAGCTACCGCTTATGCGGCCAAATTTCCGCTTATGCGGTCTTCACTTAAGAACCCGGACTTCGCTTATGCGGCTCAAACTCCGCTTCTGCGGTTCCCTCAAGTCCGCTTCTGTGGTACAGTGTCCGCTTATGCGGACCCGCTGGTGCGAGCCACCTTCCGCTTTTGCGGAATTTCCCTAGCCGGCCAACGATCGCTTCTGCGACCACATACCCGCTTCTGCGGTCCATTTCCGCGGAAGCGGGAACACCAGATGACAGCAAAAATCTGACCTGCAATACACCTCAAAACTCTCGTTTAACCACCCGAATTCACCCCGAGGCCCCGGGACCTCAACCAAAAACACCCATACATCCTAACACCTCATTCAAACTTGTTCTCATCCTCAAAACACATCAAACAACGCTAAAACCATCAAATCACATCGAATTTAAGCCTAAGTTTCTTAAAAACTTCCGAATTACGCATTCGATCAAAAACCCGACCAAAACACCTCCGAATGACCTGAAATTTTGCACACATATCCAAAATCACCTAACGAAGCTACTGCAACTCTCGGAATTCCATTCCGACCCTCGGATCAAAATCTCACCTACCAACCAGAATTCGCCAAAATTCAACCTTCGCCAATTCAAGCCTAATTCTACACCGGATCTCCAAAATCACTTCCGATCGCACTCCTAAGTCACAATTCACCTCCCGAAGCTAACAGAATCACCGGAATTCACATCCGAGCTTTCTAACTAATAAGTCAATGTTCGGTTGACTTTTCCAAACCAAACCTTCTTTAAAGAGACTAAGTGTTTCATTTGCTATCCAAACCAATTCAATTCAACTCTAACTCACCCATTGCTGATAATAAAACATGAAAGAGCAATAAATGGGGGAAACGGGGCTGTAACACGTGAGACGACGGGTTGGGTCGTCACACCAAAGCATGTTTGACAATCACACAAATGTTAGCTTAGTCTAATAAGCTCTAGAGAATTCACGATGTTATATGATACTTCGAGGGTAGGATTAGAATATTTTCTCATGCAAAATTGATCGCGTGATAGTCTATGCTTCAAGGAAATTGCAGAAGCTCAAGTCGTGTTATGCCACTCATGATTTGGAGATGGTCATAGTGGTATGTCCTTTTAAGATTAGAGACACTATTTATACGAAGAAACCTATGAAATTTATACCTAGCACAAGAGACTGAAGTACATTTAAAACCAACAGAGATATAAATATTTAGCAATGCTGATGGAGGGAACTACTGAAGATATAATTATACTATTTTATATTATTCGGGAAAGATAAATATTATAGCTTATGAAAAAAAAAACTATGGGTGATTTGGCGCATATAACTCCTACAAAGAGACTTCAGGTTAAGAGTATGCATAGAATAATGGTACATGTGTTAGATCTAGTAAAAAAACAAATCAGAGTCATTGTTGGCTTGACTTCAAACGAAGTCTTTATTGGTAAAGCACATAAAGGCCACTCAATATGAAGATGAGCAATTATGTAAGTAATGAGATGAGGTTCTAACTAGTAAAAGCAAGAATGTGCCTATTGATAGTGATGGTATTCTTTGGCTAAGTAGTGGGTTATGTATACCTGATATAGATGGGTTAAGATAAATTATTCTTCAAGAGCTCACAACTCTAGCTACACTGTATATTCGGGGACTAATAAGATGTACCATAACTAGAAGAAAATTGTATTTGTTAATAAAAGTAAGAACAAAGATCTTTTTACTTGTTTCTGACTATTTGACTTGTTAGCATGTTAAGGTAAGAAATTGCGACTTGCAGGACCACTACAATAACTCGAGTTCCAAAGTGAAAATGAAATAGAATTACAGTAAATTTTATGATAAAACTATCTCAAACAATTAGAGGTTATAATTATGTGTGAAAAATTATAAATTAGCTTACATAGTAGGCGCATTTTTTTTCTAGTTAAAACTTCTCATATCGAGGATAAATATGCACAAATATACATGAATGGAAAATTGTCAAACTCTTTGGGGTCTATTATGTTTTTGATAGAAGATCACAATATACTGCACGGTTTTGAAAATCTATCCAAAAATATATTGGGCACACTAGAAGATCTTAGTAACGCATTTCATTAAGACGGCCAGTCTGAATGTACTATAGAAATCTTGAAAGATATGTTGAAAGCTTGCACTTTGAGTTTGGAGGTAGCTTGTACGCTTATATGTATATTTAGCTGAATTTGCCTATAACGATAGCTTCAGTCCAGGATTGAGGTGGCACCTTATGGAGCCTCGTATAGTATAAGATGTCGTTCTCCTATCGGATAGTTTGAAGCCGATAAGGCTAACTTTTTAGGACTCGACTTGGTACAAAAAAAAATTATTGACAAAGTCCAGTAATTAGATTGCATACAGTATAAAATAGACAAAAAAAAAATTATGCGGATAAGACGAGACGGATTTGGTTTGTTTTCAATTGGAGACAAAGTGTCCTTACAAGTCTTCCCTATGAAAGACATAATGTAATTCAAAAAAAAAAAAACAGGCAGGTTGAAACCTAGGTTTATAGGACCGTATGAGATACTAGACCGAGTGAGAGTTATGACTTATTATTTGGCACTTCCTTTTGAGATGTCTTTTATTCATCCAATATTTCGTGTCTCTATGCCTTAATATTAGACTACTCTCAAGTGCTTGAAGCACCGACTATACCGCTTGATAAGAAGTTGTATTACGAGGAGGAGCCGATGACTATTTTTGATAGACAAGTAAGAAAGCTACGGTCAAATTAAATTGTGTTCATTATAGTCGTATGTAGAAATCATACCGTCGAAGAAGCTACTTGGGAAGTAGAAAAAAAAAAGGGGATATGCAAGTAAAGTATCCCCACTTCAGTCTACAAATATGCACTTAATTTAAATTCGGGGACGAATTTCATAAGGTGGAGAGAATGTAATATCTACTATTAAATAATGGATAGTTAAATAATCTTCAAAAAAAAAATATACAAAAAAATAACACAAAACTAACAAACAAAAAAAAAAGGAAAAAGAAAACAACAATAAAATAAAGAAGGAAGACAATTAAAGTGGGCCTTAGCCCATCTGCTTCAAATTGACGAAGCTAGAAAAGGGTTTGAAACAAAAAAAGCCCTTTAAGCCAACCACATCAAACGAGAAAAGAAGAAAACGTTTCTAAGTGTTTCTTAGCGCCGATACCGTGTTTCACTTCGTCATCGGCACATATTTTTGAGCTTCCACAATAAACTCCAGGTAATTTCATGTAATTCTTTTTTCTTTTGATACAATATTATTTTTGTTCATGATTCCTTGCGGGATTGAGTAGAGAAGATGCTAGGATAAAGTTAAGGGAATTGAAAAAGGGAGAAGCGTCACATTTAAACTTCTGTAGAATCAGAAGATGACTAAAATCCCTAAAGAAAGAAAAGGTTGGATTGGAGAAACAAAAGAAGCATAAAGCTTCACCAACGTGAAAGAAAAATTTGAGAAAATAAAAAGCTTTGATCACTAAAGCTTTGGGCACCAGGTCCGGTGAAGTTTGTAGTTGCTCTTAGTGAAATTACTCGACGACTTAGAACAAAATAATCAATTTCTCCTTTTTTCTTTTTTTGGGAATTTGCTTGAGATATTTTCCATAGTGTATGCTTTCATTGAGTACAAAAAAAAAGGATTTAAATATCAATTAAGAAGGAAGATCATGGACAATAATATTATCCGATTTTTGTAGTATTCATATGATTTAAGGAGACCAAATAGTACAATAAATAGACTATATGAATGACCTTTTTTTAGAAGATTATGGACTCACTTAAGTTAACTGTAGTACGGACAGACAAATTTGACGAATTGAGAACTAAACGTGTGATCCCGAGGGGTGGATATTCAAATTTAGTTATGAATTAGCCCGAACAAGGAAACTAACACGACATTAATATGATGTGATCATAGATTGATTGAAGGAACCCATACGGATTGCTCGAGGTGACGAGTTTGGTATTTTGCACGAGTACTGTGAGTAGTAATCTTACCGCAATTTGTGTTTTCATAACCTGCATGGTTTATACATTATTTTGAAAATAAAATATGTTACCGAATATTTGAAATTGCATGTGGGACAAGTCTTTTACTTGATATGGTACTAAATAATTTACTTGAGACGTTTACAGTTATTTAAAATGTTCTCACTGTTACTAGACATGTTTTACTATTACTAAAGATATGATTACCATACCGAAATTGGATTATATGATTTGATAATTGAAATGCCCTGTACTGTTTTGAAAATGCTTCCATGTGAAGATTTACTGTTTACAAAGAAAAGTATGAACGGGAGGAGACTTTGAAGGATCCCGTAGCTAACGGCGGGTTCGTTAGACCTGGTGCACCTTGTATTTACCGATTACAGAGTACAGTTATAGCCCTCGCTAGTGGGAAGGTAGAACTAGCATACCGTTACCGATTTTCCTCGAGTAGGGACTACCGTTATATTTGACTTCTTTTACGAAGGGGTCCAGACAGTGATACAGATTACATGATCCTTTCTTGGAACCCTCCCAAACATATTGATATGACAATGTTTACAGAGTTTATTACTGAATTGTTAATTGATTCCTGCTTACATGAAAACAGACAAGATTGATTGTTGTTACCGATTCTGAAAAAGGGCATTTATTTCATGATATTTTTTAATTATTGTACGAGCATGTTTTCTGACTTGTCCCTATGAAAAAAAAAGGTTGTGGTTAAGTGTTATTACTCACTAAACTAGCGACTCATTCCCCGCTATTTTTTTACAGAGACAGCAGTTGACGTGAGTGAGGATTTCGTTAATTGGAGTATACGTAG